TCACAGAGCAGCTGTATTTGTACTGACATTAGATTACACACAGGTGCACTCTGTTTAGTCATTAGCACTAATCAGGCAAAGTGCAACTGACTGCACTCAGACCAAAAGGGGCTCAATAATTACGCACACCCCACTTTTCAGTTATTTATTTGTAAAAAAATGTTTGGAATCATGTATGATTTTCGTTCCACTTCTCACGTGTACACCACTTTGTATTGGTCTTTCACGTGGAATTCCAATAAAATTGATTCATGGTTGTGGCTGTAATGTGACAAAATGTGGGAAAGTTCAAGGGGGCCGAATACTTTTGCAAGCCACTGTAGTTGTAAAAATGCAGCTTTGCTGTTTTAAGGTGTATTCAAACCAAACACGAAGAATTACAGTGCTCCTTACAGATGCATGGGTGGATGCGCACGCAGCAACCGGCGGTGAATGAGAGCTTCGCATCCTAAGTTTTTATCGTTGGCATCAGTAGGTGTGTGTGTTTTGTGAAAGGATGCCAAATGGTATCATTTTTCTGCAAAGCAAATACCGGCAAAAATAACGTAACCTTGAACCTTAAACCTTGATTACACAGACACAAAAAGTCTTTGTAATGAGGAGAACTGATGTTGTGTCATGCTGCTTTGTGAAAATCCATCATCTGTGGATTTTTTGTTTTGTGTGTTTTTGCACCACTGATTTGAATAGATTAAAATAGCATGGTTTGAATAAACTTAAATATTGTATTTCACAAAAAGATTGCATCATTTAGATCCCTGGTCTCTGTCCTTGGTGTGCTCAGAAATGGTCAATAGTCTTTTTTTTCCATGCACACAAAAACAGAAACTGAAAACACAACTTACTGCTTGAGCAAAATTTTTTTGAAAAAGCAACACCATCTGTCTTTCAGCCCGTTGTCATAACCTTTTTCTTACTAAGATTTGCAGTCCCCTTCACTGTCATTGTCTCTTGTTATGCTGTCATCATCCATTGTCTTAGGAGAAACCACAGTGTTGCCAGCCAATCAAGTGGCCCCTTTAAAGTTATTGCTTCCATTAAATTCCACCAAATGAAAAATTTCACTATGCCATTCAATTGGGATCTTTGTTGCCAAAAATTTGGTCGTTCTTCACTTCTGCTTGAATCCACTGCTGTATGTCTTCTTGAGACAAGATTTTAAGGCTGAAATACGAAAATCCATCCTGAATGTGCTGGAGAGCCTTCCAAGAAGAGGAGACACGCTCTCCAATTGACATGAAGTCAGTGAACACCAGGCAGAGCAGAGAGAAGTCAGATTTGATTACTGAGGTATAAGGCTGTATATGAGGTATATAAATATGTTAAAACCTTGAACAGAAATGTTCTTTGGGACTTTTTACTAGCTGTAAATATTACTCCAGGGTAATTTTGTTCAAATAACCCCCCCTCATAAAATTACGGAAACAGCTAATGGTAGAAATGGTACTGTGATGTATTATTTCTGTGCTGTATTCTGTATAACATTTTTTGCCTTTTTGGTTACTGTATTCTGTACTACTTATCCAGCCCTGGAAAAGTGAATGAAGATGGATGGATGGATTATTTTACTTTAACTAACTCACAAAGTCTACCATTCATTTCTAGTTATAAATAATAACTGTGTTTTGTTAATAACTTATTATGAGCTCACCACTGAGTTCTTACCAATATTATGTAAACATTTACATTTTATATTAAATATTTGGCATCCCTACAGTTCACCCTATTCATTATTATTATATGTAAATATTATATAATTATCATGATGTTACTATGCTAAACAGTCTCTCTAATAGTTTCTTTCTGTCTTTCAACTTTTTTTAACCCCAGGAATGTCAATAAATAATGACAGTAGTGATCATTCTTGCTCATATAATCACTGTTCTTGTGTTGTGTTATAAATATACTCTGAATGTGTATCAGTAGTATTAACTGAACACACCAAACATTGGATAATAATAACAATATTTAATCATATGCAAACAGCTAACAGACATTACAATTATAATTTGAGAATATAGGAGACAAATCAACAACACACCTCTTCCAATTAATGCCTAATTAATATTATGCTGAACACAGTCCAAAAGATTCAATAAGCCACATCTCAGTGTCTACTGTCAGTCTACTGTTTTACTATCATAGCCAAGTGGCTAAAGGTAAACAGAAGTTTTATCACTATCCCTACTAATAAATGTTCTCTTGTTTCAGGATGCATAATAAGTGCCATTATCCAATGACACATCTGCTTAACTCTATCTTTTTTCCTCCTCTTCTTTTCTTTTTTTCTAAACTGAGGACCTGCTGGCTTTGACCTTTTTTGTCCATCTTCCATTCCAATATTATGAATGAAATGTGCTCTATTTGGAAGCAGCCCGCCCCCTCCCCTTTCGACAGGTTGTGTGTGAGACTTAAGCACAGCAGCAGCAAGAAGGCGCACCGAGGAATCTCACATTTACTTTTCGCGTATATGTGTGTGATAGAATTTAGAAAACACATCGGTGCCAATTATAAGTCTATATCATAATGTCTGTTATTTTTGTGTTTGATGGTTTGTTTTTATTTCCTTTTATTTTGCGAGCTGGTTTTTAGATGCCACTTCGGCCAGCCAGAGAATCCCTGGCCGCTTCGCCCCTCTCCTCCCTGCACCGCAAGAGCTCCTCGCAAATGGAGGGAGCTCTTATTAGAAAACCGATTGGTTCCTATGCAATCCCCAAAATGCGCTGGCATGATGTCAGGGCAGCATGGGTGCGAGCAACTTTTTTTGCTAATGCCCACCACGATGCCACCCTGATCAACAACCCATGTCGCCCATATCAAAAACTGCCACTGCATGAAGTAGGCCATAGTGAAGGGAGCAGTAAACAGTCTAGCGCAACCTAGAAGTGCAAGTGCCTGTTCGATTCTAATGAGAGGACTAATCAGACAAGTAAAAAAAACCTGAGATGATACACAACAGCTAAAAGTAGGGCCTTTTAGACAAATAACTATAAGACGATAATCATAGACTGCTAATCCAACTAAAATAAGAGCAGTGGATACACTTCGAAAGGGAAACAAAGACTTATGTTTGAATGAAGGTGTTGAATCTTTCCAGCCAATTGCTTCACCAAAAGGCAGATCACATGAAGCCCGGTTCAACAGCACAGTACTGACACCTGCTGCTCATTCGATTTACAGCAGCCCTGCTCTGATAATACATGTGGACTCCAGTGGACATGTAATGATGTATCACTTGTAGAATACCCATATGTGTATGTTTAATATAAATACACAAACAGACACACACACACATCTAACCATCCTCTCTGAGAATGATTTATGTTATTAGTAGGCGATAGCATGTCAAAATGTTCCTTAACTGCTGACATTATCCACCTTTTTGGTTAGAAGTAGAAATAACAGGAACTAAGCCATGCTAGACACACTAAAAGGATAAAGAGAAGCACTGTTAAAGGACTGAGTGGGCTTATACACACACACACACAGACACACTGATGAAGGATGGGAATTAGACACTCGTGCACACAATTCAAATAGCAGGTGACAAAGTAAATACCAAACACAGGAGACAACTAACTAGCAAACTAAAACAGGAAATGAATGGCAATAATTAAACAGGTAATTTGGATAAAAAAGTAAACATAACATGAGGAAATGGCATTGAAAGAAACAACAAAACCTTAAAAGTGGGAAAATACAGGGGAGAAAGGATATCACAAAACTAGAAACTAGAAAACAAAACACCATAAACACCAAACAATCAGCAACAATTCAAAACGTAGGCATAAAACCTAGCGCCCATGACAGACTCACTCTCCACCTGCATTTCTGCATTTCAGTTTTCCCCTTTTAAACTGTTGTATAAATGGTGTATAAAAGCACTGCTATTTATACACTGTTAGATGTATAAATAGCTGGGGGAAAATGGCAGATATGCGTTCAAACGTTCTGTTCAGGCCAAGCAGAAGAAAGTTATGAACTGGGAGTCTACTCCAAAAAGGATATTAAGAAAGAAGCAGCAGCAGTAAACGAGCAGAGTAGGTACATTTTATGTTTACATCAGTCACAGAGACCAACTTCAGACAGGACTATTAGACCTCAGATTCTACAGGGACACATGTGAACACGTGTGAACAGGTATTAACGGAGAGCAGACATTAGTTTATATTGCAGACCTACTCAAATTACCAAACAACTTACTGCGTTACAGGGGCCACTGTTCTTTAACTTGATGCCAGTGTACACTCGGGACTTTGAGAGAAAAGGAAAGCGAGAGAGAGAGAGAGAGAGAGAGAGAGATCATGTGACAAATGACTGAGCCTAGCTTGCTGAATTGCGATGTGAGACAAACCCACACACACCGAGCGGGGCTTAATCGCATAAACACATCGTATCTTATGACTGCTGGTAGCAAAGCCTGAACATCAGGCGGGCGGGGAAAGATCCAGATCCAGTGCTGTGCTGATTGACTGGCTGCTGCTGCTGCTGCTGTTACCTGGGAAGGCAAGAGGGAAGCATCGATGCCTCCGGGTCAGTACTCGCTCATGAGCCTGGACCTGTTCTCGCCATCGGGCCTCCTGCACTGAGATAATGAAAGGATGGATGGACGACGATGCGGCGGGGACAACAGAGGGCTGAAGGATGCTGCTGCAGCGACTCGCCGGGATGAGGAGCAGCATCACAACACGATGAACTCGCCGGAAGAAGCGGGAGCGGATGATCTGTCTCTGGAGGAGATACTGAGGCTTTATAACCAGCCCATCAACGAGGAACAGGCATGGGCGGTGTGCTACCAGTGCTGCAGAACGCTGGCGAAGGAGCACCGGGGCGCTGCCGCCACCGGAGCATCATCAGCGGCTACACCGAGGAGGATATCCGGACCGGAGGGTGTTAGGATACAGAAGGACGGGTCTGTGAGGGTGGACCACCAGGGCTGTGAAGGTAAAATATTATATAAGTGTGATTGTGCCTAGAGCTACTCAGATCTAGGCCAAACCATCACTGGTCTTTTAAATAATATACGTGTGTTGTTCCAACACGTTGTCGTATAATGTTAACATTAGACCTAAAAGAAAGGGCCCCAATGAGACTATTTTAGAGGTGCGATGCAAAAATATCCTGTAAATAGCTCCGCACATGTTTTTAAGCTCACGCGTGAAAGATTCATAAGTGTGTGTGTGCGTGTGTGTTTTTTGTTTTTTTTTTTCTGACCAGGTGCTCAGTTTGCATGTCAGGATTAGTCCATAATCTGCATCATGCAGCACCAAAACATCCAGTACTTAAGGCTCCATGACCTGATCTCATCTACACAAAGAAATACCATCACAAACCCCCGCCGCTCTCTCCCTCACATGGCTTCTCCGCTCATTTTCACTGTTTCCTCTTCAGCAAACACACGTGTGTGGGCATCATGTGGTTTCATCTCTTTTATTTATTTTTTTATGAAGAGCCCGTCAGCCTGTTTTGTCACCTCGTATCAGATCAGGCTGTTCATTCCGCTTCATCTGATTAAAGCATGTGATTACGAGCCGAAATGCGGGCACTGATCAGATCAAGGCGTGGACTGTTGCCCTGCTTGTGCCTGAACAGAACAGGGGCAATTAGTGATGCATCACCCTTGTTTTTTTTTTCATTTAGGTCTTGGTTATATTTAGCTGTTACTTCTACCTGTGGGAGCCTCATTCATTGGCTGCAATTAATGAGAGGCAATAAAACAAAAAGAGCTAGTTGGAGTTATAGCAGTGTTTTTAGTGCCATGCTGGAAATATAACAGAGTCAGGGAGAGAGTAGTAGCAGTGTGCCAACTGAAAAACCGCTGTATTATTCTCAAGCTACCCCTACGGGCCTTTAAAGTGTGTCTATAGTGTTGTAATCCTGATGTTATTGTACTTTATGGTAGGTCATGTGTAAGATGAGGCAGAATTAGTGTTTGTGGATATTTTTTCTAGCACGGTCGAGCTTTTAAATTGAGGGATAAGCCTGGAATCCAACCAAAACAAAACAGGTGACACTGCATGCTATGTGATATTTGTGTTGCCTTATTCTGTGGGTGCGTCTGTGAACATTTGCTTAAATTAAGCACCTGATGTTGTTAGACTAAGAGCTGGCGTGTTCATGTTCGTCTATATTTACATTTGCCCAAAGAGTGCAGAGCAGACTGACTTAATGCCTATCCATCTCTGTCTTTGTAATTGACTACCTGAGGGCCTGAGGGAAGTGCTCTCAACTCAGCTCCGACGTACACGCACTGTTACACAACCCTGCTGAGTCAGTGTTAGGGCCTTTGATTCAATACATTTCACATCCTGCTTTGTCTTTGAGCAAATCTGAGAGGCTCAGCTGTGATGCTCATGCTGGTTTTGGCCTGTATGTCTATATGGTTATAGAATGAATGGGTTATTTTTAGGAACATGGATGAAACCACTGGAGAGGGGAGTCATGCTAGCCTTTATTCCTCTGTTGCCTGTGTACTGTGACATCATGCTGCAAATAGCAGCTGCATATCAATATGTTTTTTGCATTTGTTTGTTCTTGTACTGTTTTTTAAGTTTGTCAGAGAAAAGTAGAGGGTTATTTTTTTTTAAATATATACCCCTATGGTTCTTCAGATGATCCCCAGACTGCTTTATTGGCCCCACCTACATACATAACACACCAAATACTTTCATATGAACGGATTTTGAACTTATCAGTGCAATCGCATAAATATTATTATGTAACAGTTGTTAAACGGTTTTAAATGGTTAATGTAGGCTATACAGTATTCAGCATTCTACTTCTACTCAACTTCTACTGTTTGGAGTCATAGTTGGGATTTTCATTCAGTTATCCATTATATTCTGTAATTTTGGGAATGTGTTTGCATGTTTATTGATTAATAGAGCTAAACTGTTGGACTAAGTGCTGTGCTTTTGTCTTCCTAATGCACAAGCTTAATAATCAAAGCCATTTATGTAAATAATGAGATAAATGTGTGGTAAAGGTTTTAAAGGTTAAGGCCTTTTGAAGCTATCATCTGCTAACATGGCTTCAAGTTAAATCCTAACACAGTTTGTTTTAGACTCTGTTGTCGTTTAAACCCACATCGTGTCTGCTATGTAATACAGCATTTAACCAGGCCACCTGACACTTTTTATTAAATCAGAATGAGTGTAAATGTTTTTGCTCATGCCTGTTAGAAATAGATGGAATTTCATGCCAGTATGCTCCTTGACTGACTCATCTTGAAGGCACATTTGATCGTCTGCTCATTTTAGATGCAGTTAACACATCTTCACCTCAGCAGCACGGCATTCAAATCTACTGATGCGAGTTAAAGTTGTGTGCTGATGTCACTGGTGCCATGATGTTGCATTCCTGCGTATTACAATACAAAACAGGGGTTTGTTTAGAGGGTCATCTGTTTGCAGGCTGTTTACTCATGATGTAAAAGCTCTGCTGATGTAGCCTGGAGAAATGCTACATTCTTCCTTTTGAAGGGAGCGCATTCATGCGACGCGGGTTCTCGACTGGAGAATTTTGTCGTCACTGGTCATGATACTCAAAGTGATAAATAAGTTACAGCTTAGAGATTTTGTCAAAATTGATTCCAGCTTGCATAATGATGGCAAGAACAAAGAGGGCCAAAATCAGTTTATTGAGAAATCAAACTTGTTATCACTGATAAATAGGAGGTGCTTGACCACAGAGGAACTGCATATAAGTCCCAAGTGCTACATATTAAAAATCCTGTGATGATACTTTACTCTACTGTAAAATGTGACTTCTGAAACAATAACACTGGTGATTATAATGCCCCAAATCTATACAACAAATAAGAGTAAGACAGATGAATTAATATTATTGTCAAGCAGACTAACGTCTCATCTCACCTGATGCGTGATAAGAAGCGGGTTACCGAGTGGACAGTTTGCCAATCCATCACAGGGATGGAGAAAACTGTAATGCACGTATCTAATCAGTTAATCACTGGTCAGCAATCTAAAGTATTTAGACATGTAGATATGGTCAAGGCAGCCTGCTGAAGTTCAAACGAAGCATCAGAATATGATAGTGACATGATTGTTGATGGCAGATGGGCTGGTCTGAGTATTTCAGAAAACTGCTGATCTACAAGAACTTTCCTCCGCAAACATCTTTGGTGTTTACAGCAAATTGTCTGAAAAAGAGAAATATCCACTGAGCAGCAGTTCTCTGGGTCTCTTGTTGATGGTGCCATTTTTGCTCACCTGGTTGAGCAGGTGACCATACACCGGAAGGCCAGCACCCTGGGACCAATCCTGACCCTGTACCCTTTGTGATGTGTCTTTCCTCACAGTCGCCCCACTTTCCTGTCTAAAAACCATCACTGTCCAATCAAATAAAGGTAAAATTGTTTTTAAAACAGGAAGTGAAATTAAGGTAAACGAGTTTGATTTCTGTGGGGAAAATAAAGAAAAAGGAGGTTGCTGATGATACTGCACTGAATTTAGCTTGAAATCATTTTTTGTAAATGGACTGGTTATTATATATTGCTTTTCTGCTCGAGCACTTTAGACAACATGTCTCATTCACCCATGCATATAAGCACTTCACACGTCCCATTCACATGTTACCTTTGATGGACACACTTTGAGAAGCGCTGAATGAAGTACTTGGACTTGGAGAAGGCATTTGACTGTGTCCCTCCGGGTGTCCTGTGGGAGGTGCTGCAGGAGTATGGGGTGTCTGGCCCATTGCTACGTGATGCAGACGCTGCACTGGTCCGTCGTGGTGAAGAGAGAGCGGAGTGTAAAAGCAAAGCTCTCAATTTACCGGTCGATCTACGTCCCTACCCTCACCTATGATCACAAGCTGTGGGAAGTGACCGAAAGAACGAGATCGCGGATACAAGCGGCGGAAATGAGCTTCCTCTGAAGGGTGGATGGCCTCTCCCTTAGAGATAGGGTGAGAAGTTCTGCCATCCGGGAAGAGCTCAGAGTAGAGCCGCTGCTCCTCCACATCGAAAGGAGCCAGCTGAGGTGGTTCGGGCATCTGACAAGGATGCCTCCTGGGCGCCTCCTGGGTGAGGTGTTCCGGGCATGTCCCACCGGGAGGAGGCCCCGGGGCAAACCCAGGACACGCTGGAGAGATTATATCTCTCGGCTGGCCTGGGAACGCCTTGGTGTTCCCCCGGATAAGCTAGAGGAGGTGGCTGGGGAGAGGGAGTTCTGGGCTTCTCTGCTTAGGCTGCTGCCCCCGCGACCCGGCCCCGGATAAAGCGGATGAAGATGGATGGATGGATAGATGGATGAATGAAGCACTGTGAGATAAGAGCACTAACAACTACACCACTGTACCAGTAATATTATGTTCTCTGAGAATTTCTCATCCTTGATATTATAGACGTAAATCAGTTTTCGTAGTTGGTTGGAAGTCCTGTCAGTGCTGTTTTATTCCTACAAAAAGAACTTTTGTAGCTGAACCGGGATTTGTAGCTGAATAATATGCTACCTTTCATTTATGCATCAAAGTTTGAGCACCTCATGCTTCTTTGCTGCTCATGATAACAGTGCTTTCTTTTTTTAATCTGCAGGTAAATACAGCCCTTGCACAACAACAGAGGTGAGTAACTGCACTCTAATACTGCTGTTGTTATTTTATTTCATCATCACACACTTCCACATGTTTTGTATGTGGATGTATTTACTTGTTTATAGAGTAGCAGGTGAATAGAATTTGGTATCTATTTTTTTATTTGGTATTTATATATGTTGTGGAATCCACTTGCTGAGTGGAAATAAATGATAAATAAATTTAATTTCAAACGTGTTTTAAATGAGCATACTCACACAAAGTGATTACTTTGGGTGGAGTTAGTTTGTGAGTATTGTTTGCAGTTGATTAAGTCTGAGACTTGAGCAAATGCAGATTTTCTGGAACACAACCAATCATTCAATTAGCGAGTTACTTATGAAGAGAAATATGTGGCTGTACGTACAAATAATGGCTTCTTGTCCACAATAATGACATGATTATCTTTTTAAATATTTACTCTTTGTGAATGGTTTCATTAGCTAGTAAGCTAGCAGTCAGTCACAACAACAGAGATATCATTCAGATTACAGTGCGGACACCCTGTAGGATTATTTCAAGTGTCAGATAGTGCTATGGTTGAAACTGTCGTAAGCCCTGGGTGTGTGTTAATCCTGATGTTTGCAGTGCCACTGCTCTGGCTCCCCTGCCTCTAAAACTAATACCTTTAACAAATGAAAGAAGTTCAAAATGTGCTTTCATTTTCTCAGTAAGGAATTGGTTTCACTTTAGGCTTTACAAAGACCTGAACAGTCCAACAAAACAAATACCAGACTGTCTCTAGTCTGAGGTATTTACACATTTTTTGCATGTTCAACAGCGAAATTGTGGTTAGTGTCCTGATGTCATGACAACCGCTGACAGCTGGGCATTTTCTGATACAGGAATGAGATGTGCTTTTTAATACCTTGAAGTAATTTCAGATTTACAAAACTATTTAAATTTTGAGAAGAATTCATGTGGAAAAAAACGCACTGTGAAAAAAATGGAAGCGACATCATGCTATGATGAGCCGGTCCTGATAGAAAAAGGACGAAACTAAGATTCTGGGTTTATCCACTTCTCACGAGCAGGGAGAGTTTCATGGTTTGTTGTTAGTTTATGAGAAATTAAGGAGAGAACTTCTGTGTTTCATTTGCATTTAATATCTCTGCTTCTAGGTATGTGACTGCAGAATTATTAAGGGTGGTCAAATCATCTTGTTCATTGTTAAAAAATATATATAAACTTGTGAGGCCCAGTAACGCCATAACCCCTGAAGGACAACTAAAGTAGATAGAAGAGCAGTGCTCTGTCCTAGGGAGAGAAATCAGATCATTATTGGTCTACCTTAGGGTGCAAAGCACAGGTAACACTGAAAAAATAGTAGCCAGGTGGTAAAAACATAAACTAGGGTGTTGATCTTGGCCAGCAATGTTCTCTCCAAGCGTCCTTGTAGCTGATGATGAGACCTCAGCTCGAGGTATCAGGATGAACTCTTAATCGTATAGGTCCTTACTTTCTGTTCTTACTTTCTGTCAGTTGTTGAGAAGACGTGCTGGACATGACATCACAGTACAGATGGATAATGAGCCTTGATCGCTGGTATTAAGAGGCAAAGTAATAAATTATGAACCAAGCGAACAGTTATCATCAGCTCTGACGTGGAGGAAAAACTGAACATTCCTCTAAATTAACCTTCAAGCAAAAGGAAACTGTAGTATTTCTTTAAGGGATTACTCGACAAATGTACCATTACATAAATCTAGGGTTATTACAATGAAATAAAGAAACAAAAGCTAAAATAGCTTGATTTTTAGTCGCTATAGGTAAAGCTTGTGTAGCCTCACTGCTGCCTTACAAACTCCTGTAATTTTCCAAACTCTGGGGTCTGTGTATAGTTTTTTGTTCTAATCTGCAGGCATTAATTCAAAGCCAGGGGTTATTTTCTCAGGAACTGAAAATCTCCTGTAGATCGACAGGACATTTTACAGAACTGTTTTCACAGGCTGAGCAAGACTTACCGTGATGAGTCTTCCAAAGCTGATTTGTAAACTGACCGTTTGAAACACAGAGCGGCTGTAGCAGTTATTCTGTTTTGGTTACTTTTACAGTTCATGCCAACAGCAGTTTGACTGTAAAATATGCACACATGATAAATACCTACAAACAAATGCATGTATATATATCATTCCCACTGCACTTAATGTACATGTAAAAAACAATATCTCTGTGACATGTCTTCTAGTGTATCATACTATGTGAAGTAGAATTTGTACACAGTAAAAATTACTATTATATAGTATTTTATTGATTGTGCATTTTTAGCAGTTTGGGGTTTTTATTACTTTATTTTTCTTACTTACTTTTTTATTTTATTATTTTCTAATATATCACTAATTCTCTTTTCCTTTCTGACCCTTGTGCTGCTGTAATAAATTGAATATGGGATTAATAAAGCCTATATCTATTGTATGTCTGTCTATTCTACCAACCTATTTCCTCTTTCAGCTGCAGAGTTCCCAGCTGGCTACTCTGATTGACTAGTTAAAATGTCACCCAGCAAGGCCTCCTCCTTTGATGAGCACTCTGGGAGAATGTTCACCCTTAATTAAATGTCTTTGTAAAACTGACAGTGTGCACTCTCACTGCATTATTATCAGCTGCTCTTAATGATCGTGATAATAGCTTCTGGAAATGTCTTACAGTACGGAGGGGTTGGCGTCTCTGCTATTTATTTTTAGAAACGGTTTTGTCACTGCAGTTACCACACTTTTTCTTCCCGGTTTATTAGAGATAGCGCGCAGTAGTTTTCAAGGCGTTGAGGACTTGGATTGCCGTGTAATAGAGCTGCAATAACAGATGGACTGTCAGCAAATAACCCAAGCACATACACATGCAGTCCGCTGTAGAAGCAGTGAATGGGAAACTGTATAGACAAATCCCCGCTAAGCAGCTTTGCACCACAAATGAGTTCTCACAATGCAGTGTGTGGCAGAATGGATCAGAAAGCTACTGCAAGTTGGTGGAGCTGCTTGATGCTTGACAGGACTGAAGGTGTTCTGCTATAGCATGCAGTGTAGAATTAGCCCAGAGCTAGCTGAACGAGAGCATATGTGTGATGGGCATTATCAGCACATGGCTTCAAACAGCAGGAACTCTTGCAAATGATCTGGCTGTGAATGTCAGATGATTTGCTTCTCTTCATAGCCAGTGAACTGGATTCACCGACACGGCATAAGGCAGCCTCACGCTGTTTGCCTGATAATCAGAATAGATGAGTTCACTGAAAATGGATCATTTTTTGTTTTAGAGTTGCAGATATTTCAACATAAATATGATGATTATGTGCGCCTGCTTTAGCAAAAAGGCTGTTGTTGACCCCTCAGTAGAGCATCCTAGTCCTGTGACTCTGTGTAACCTCAGGCATTTGTGGATTATGCTTCATCACATTCTCCTCTGCCAAAGTTTAACCGTGCATACCTTGTGCTCTTTCAAGTCCTGAGCTTTAACGCCATGAAAGGGATTAGAGTTTAACATCACATCCAGTGTTTAATGTAAACAGAAATTTCAGTCAGATGTTATGTGTCTTTTCTCTGCGAGTTTAATGTTCATTTGCATTTACTCTCCCATTAAGGCTTGTGCTGCCATGAAAGAAGAGAAACAGACAGTATAAAAGTAGAGGCAAACTACTACGGGGGAAAGAATGTTGTGTGGTTCAAAGGTTTTCTCTGTTCTATATGTGAACTCACTGGGTTCCACATCTCCAAGAAAACCAAGGTAATTGTTCCCAGTCATATGATAGTCAGAGCCAAGAGCAGCGTGGCCAGGAAACTGGAAAAAAATTGATGCCTAAGAGGAAAAAGCCTATGCTTTGACATATGACGTATAGTCATCTGCACTGTTTCTTATTACTCAAGCTTTTTGTAATCATGTGAATTTCACTGAATTCACTTGTTTTAAAATAGGTTCGATGTAGAGAACTGCACTGACATATATTATTATTATTATGTTGGTCAGTATCAGAAGCAAAAAAAAGTTCAGATTTCTGTTGTCAGACTTTGAAGGTGTGGCAGACATGCTGCTGTGGCACTGCCAAAACAGTACCACAGCAGCAGAAACTAACAGTTTTAGTTTAGATGTAAAAATGTCTTTTTACACATTATATATTTTGTGTTACTTTTTTGAAGTAATCCAGTTTGTTACTTAATTACTCACTGGAGAAAGCAATTTGTTACACTTTGCATCACGTTACTTTTGTGTTTAAATTACCTGAAACAAATTGTTAGTTAACAATATAAACCTTAGACTTCAGTTCCACATGCCAACACAAATCCTTATCCTAATGAGGACACATATATGATCTTTTGCATTTAAATTTCTGTAATACGTAGATAAAGGTGAAAACAAGCCCAAGGAGACTGAAGTGATCGCCACTGCCACTGCTTTTGTTACCTGATGAATTTCAGTGATGGCTGCTGCTTAAGTGTCTTACTCAGCTTAATAACATCATTTTGGGTGCTTAGCTAGCTTTTTTAAAATCTATTTGCTAAGTGTGCAAATAACTGAAGAATGAATGTAGTACAGTAGTTACATTAGTCTGTTACTGAAAAATGTAAGGTGACCCAACACTGGTCTTGGAAGACCCGCAAGTGGTCTGAAAAGAAATAGAGGGATGTAACATCATTCAGTGAACCACTCATATTAAAACTGAAATACTCGATGACTATTGAAAAGGTTGCCATGGTCTGGCATGTTGATTTCCCTCGTATAATGAAGTATTACTATTTGGTTTCCCTCTGACCTTTTAAAACTAATATTAATAAAATAGATTAGACATATATTTTTCTTTCTGACAACAGAAAGGATATTCCACTCAGCTCCGACTCTATATCACTAGCATGTCACTGGCATGTTGATGTTAGCAAGTTGCTCAAAATGTAGCCATTAAGAAAGGCGTTGTTGGCATCACAATCATGATAAGTATATTTTTTCCAAAGAACGAGTAAAACATGTAAGCTTTAACATTTGATGTGCTATCTTAAGGCTTTTTAAGTGACACAGTTCCCTAACTTAGGAGGAAAACAGGACACTACAGCACAAAGCACCTGTTATCTTTGCATTTTGTGCTGTTCAGCAATTGTAATAATTCAGTAGCCAATAATAAAGGTAAACTCCTAAAAAAAAGACCCAAAATAAAGACACTCTCTTTTCCCCAACTTAAATAGACAGTCTTCACTTGTGAAGTAGAAGTTGGTGCACATTGTGCATAGCATAACTTTATGAGGGAGTGATTAATAAGAGAAATGTTCGATTAGAAAATGAAATAGTGGACCCTATAGGAGATATGCCAGTAGGATGGGTAGAAGCCTCAGCTGAGGCTGTAGCTAATGTGAGCTAGCCCTGAGATCAGCTGGTGTGACCGTGACTTTCTGGCCTGGAACTAATGCTATACTTGAGTTCAGTCATGACGATTATAACCAAAAGGAGACTGTTGTCTTTATTTGCAGTTATTTGTTATTGAATGGTTTAGATCTTTTTTGAAATGTTGTTGCTATTTCGCACTCATATGTGGGCCCTATGTTTGAAACCCTTGCCCTAAGAACACCATACCAGGCAAACCCACGATGCCTTTGTAAAATAAAATGACACCAGGTGGAC